AACATTGAATATCATGTTGTCAAGTCATCATCCTTGGTGTCACTTTTATTTTGCACTCTAATTTTTTCATTTAGTTGATTTTGATTCCAACCACGGTTATAGATTTTAAAAGAGGGTCATCCAAAATAAGACAACCCTATGTAGGCATGGGAATGGAACCTGACTCGTCGGGAACCCGGTCCACCCGTCCTAATCCAGGACAGGGATTCTCCGCTAAACCGATGATGGGGATGGGTACAAGGATCTCCGTTTGTCTCAAACCGGAGATGAGGATGGAGACGGGTATCACACTCCCCGCTCCGCCTCATACCCATTATATATAAATATATATGTGTGCGTGTGTGTGTTTGTATGTATGTATGTATATCACACTATGACATGCCTTTTTTAGTACTGATATGAACATATAGTTCATGTGTGAATCACACGGGTCCACATGTGAACCCTTTTGCCTCCTATTTATAAAAGTTACGAAACCATCTCTCTATTTTCTGCATACTCATGCGAAGAATTATCCGTTGCTTCACAGTCAAATCTGTAAATGTTGACCAAATGAAGGGACATGATCACTTTTTACTTCTTAAATGCTTACCACTTCTCAAATGAATCTTTCACTATATATACGCAGTCTATCGATATATATATATATATATATATATACTAGTTGTGTATCCGCGTAATGCGGTGGGAGCCGTGAATTTTAACGATTTTGAAGTTTCACTGGTTTTATTATAGAAGATTTAACGATGATATAAGTTACACTTGGTATTTACATATTAATACAATTTGAATAAATAAGAGTTATGGTTCCAATTACAGTCTATCGATGAAAAAATTTGTATAACAATTTAAAACCCAATATATTTAAAATCCAATATATGTAAACGACTCTACAAATGTGTTCGATTTACACCAAGAGCAAATAATCAAGAGACAGAGAGCGAGAGCGAGAGTTCTAGAACAATTGAATGGAAGATGAATGAGAGAGCTTTTAATAACTCATGGTGAATATTAGTTTGAATCTCACATTGGGGGATGTGGAGAAGACAGAGGTATGAGAGGATGAATGCATGAGTGAAACATGTCAAAAGTCTTGGGAACATGAAAAAAAAAAGATAATAATGTGCATTAGTAACTTATACTATATGTTATTTTAATTGTAGATTAAGAAATTTTAAGAGTGAATGCATAAAGTAGTAGTACGCAATGCATTATGAGTTGTTTTTAAGACTTTTAAGATTTTGTGCATAAATGTATAGTACTTTGTTCATTAAAAGTTGTTTTTAAGACTTTTAATAAATATGATTTATAAGGTAGTATATATATGTATGGGGCTGGTTCAAATGTTAACCAAGATTATTGTGTTAACTTTGTTAACTAATCTTGGCTATTGATTTTTACAGTAAATGGTTGTGATTAATCATTATAAAAAAATAATTTTTTTTTTAATTTACATTTCAAAACACAAATGGGAAAAAGGTATATACGTAATTTTTTTTAATGTAACTCTCATATCATTAATTGGGAGTTACAAAATCAAAAAATCACATTATTTTTGTTAATGTAAGAACCATATGGACACACACACACACACACATACACATACACACACACACACACACATATATATATATATATATATATATATATATGAACCATTGTGTAAAATACGAACACAAATTGACATATATATAAACTTGGAATGGATAGCATATATGAACACAATATGAACAGCTCATGAATAATAGTTCCTTCATTAAGAACACATTCAAAAGCGAGCCAGTGTTGAGATATGCAGCCAGTGTACATATGAACACAATATGAACACTTGTGAACAATAGTATCGTAGAAATATCGTAGAAATAGTATGAACACAGTATGAACGAGTGATGAACATGAACAAGCCACATAGTGAGAGAATATCATAGAAATAGTATGAACACATAACATATATGCTATGAACACGTGGTGCAATTAAAGAAAAAAACTATCAATACAAGATGAATTATAAATAACACAACACATCGTAATGAACATAATTTCGACTAAAACGAATCTAACAAACAAAAATTAATCTATTACCAAGACATTCGCTTTGGTTAATTTCTTCACTTCCTGAACTCGAACTCCGATTGTCATCATAAACCATTTTAAATTATCTCACAGTTGTCGATTTCTTTTTCATTGCGTTTATCCATATTAGCTTGATCGATACCAAAAATTTTACTACAATGTTTCCTATGTGAATTAAAAACTCATAAAACAATGAACATGGAAGATCAAGATTATATATATATATATATATATATATATATAATATTATAAATGCATATTATTTGGGATTTGATGATTTATAACTCCCCATTAATTGTTTGGGAGTTACATATCAAATCAATTTATCGAAAATACCCTTGTAATTAACTTGTGAACATGACATAAACCTACTAGAAGAATGAAATTTGATTGGTTGACTTGGTTTGCAAAGTTAACACAAAATTGTTGGTTAACATTTGATCTTCTCTCTATGTATATATATATAGGGATTGGTTCAAATACTAACCAAGATTTTTATGTTAACTTTGTTAACCAAGCTCAACCAATCATATTCCATCTTTTCTTTAGGTTCACATATAACTCATATATTAATGACAAGGGTAATTAAGTAATTTGTCATTTATGTAACTCCCAAATCATTAATTGAGAGTTATAAATCTAAAAATCTCAATAATTAATGATTATGTAATATTGATATTTTTTATACGTGTTCATGTTTTGTAATTTTGATTTATTCTATCCAAAATGAAGTTGATTTTATAATTGTAGAAGAATTTCCGATTGTAAAGATTTCGATATCGTTCTAGTAATATGGATAAACCTATTGGAAAACAGATCGACAACAATGAGAATGAAAAGGTTAAAATCGTCTACGACTACAATCGGAATTCGAATTCATATGTAATTGTTAAAGAAATTGTTCACAAGTGTTCATATTGTGTTCATATATACACTAGTTGCATATCTCAACATTGGTTTGCTCCTGAATGTGTTCATAATGAAAAAACTATTGTTCACAAACTGTTCATATTGTGTTCATATGTACACTAGCTGCATATCTCAACATTGACTTGCTCCTGAATGTGTTCATAATGAAGGAAC